TTTTCATTATCTCAAATTTCTGTGGCATCGCCAAATCCCATCATAAGTTCACTTTGTGTCCCTGATGAGGTCACGTTTTATTTTCCAGTGCATCCGCCGCCGATGACAGAGAAAGAGAAAGGGCCAGAGAGGTGACAGACAGACGGTGCGAGCGACAGAGGAGTACCGAAAGCGAGCGTAAATTTAAATAAATGCTTTGAAGCACACTAAAAGCGATTTATCTTTGTCGATTGTGGATTACGAACATGCCCTCCGCTCAACCTCTCCGATCCCCGAGGAGAACGGAGTGCGGGGGAGCAAAAGGAAAAAAGCATTTTTCATATTGTGTCAGCGACGAGCTGGTCTCTGTCTGTGTGTATTTGCGAGTGTCGTCCTTATTTGCGAGTGTGTGTTTGTGTGTGGGATTGTGCGTCTGTTTGCACAAAGACTTGTCAGTCAACGTGGGAGCAGCTCACCAGGATACGACACAAACACACACACACAGATACAGAGATTCGAGAGCAAGAGGTGGTGTACTGGGGACCCCAAGGAGTGGTGGAGCACAAGGAGCAGCTGCCGCTGCGACCCTTTTGTCTGTCCTTCGGCCCGCCTGTCTGTGTCCTGCTCATCAGGCTTCGTTTTATTGATTAATCGTTTGCTGCTGCTTAATGCCTTCTCCATCTCCGCTTCTTCTTCTTCTTTTGGCCACATTAGCACCGCTGCCTGGTCTCCCTCTTCATTTGCTTCGAATTGGCCAATTTTGCGCTGCATTTGGCCGAAAAAAAAGAAAAACTTTTCTCCGAACTGGCAGGCCTACCCTGCGTATACGCAATATAGATGCCTGGAGTAACAATTCGATTTTCTGGAAACAATACATTTGGCAATCGATAGTGGCCATTTTCCAGGAAACTCATGAGTTTTTGGGAAATTTCAGTGTTTGAAAATGACACACAGAGCTTCTTGGTAAAGCAGAAAAAAAAGTCAATTAAATAGCATTATATTCTAAGAACTTGCCATATGAAATATTAAAGAAAAACCTTTAATGAAGAACTAAAACTATTTGAAATCATTTATTTCAACCAAGAATAATTAATTACATTTCTCACAAGTTTTTATTTAATTCCTTATCAAAAAGTTAAAAAGAATGTTACAGATACTTTTTCTATTTACATAAATTTAGACTTTATCTCCTTGAAATATTTATAGAATCGCTTTCCACCCACGGAGATGGGAACCCATCTTGTTGTGGAATCTCGGCTAAATCAACTTTCGCCTTAATCCACCTTGTACCGCAAAGTGAAATCTATCAATCTGGAGTCCTGGGCCAGCTGCTTCCCACTGCTGCTGGCTGGATTATAATCTGGAAGATGCGGCGCCCACGCAGGACTCGATAAATTGCTAGATTGCACAAAGTGGCAAGCTGCGAAAGAGGCAATGCCAGGACGAAGGAGGAAAGCTTAGCCAAGCCAAGCCAAATGCCAATGCAAAAAAGGTAGAAACAAATGCTGAGAGAGTGGCGGTGGCGGTGGCGAAAGGAAAACAGATTATTGGAACACAGAAACTTTTTCCCTGGCTGTCGTTGCCGCACACATGTGTCCAGCCGCAAAGAGCGGTGAAGGGATCCGCATGGAGGCCACAAGGACGAAAAGGACGGGGAGTAGTAAGAGGAACAGCTGGATAAAGAAGTGCAAAGCGGACCTAACAAAACGCGGCTATACTGTAATACAGCTCACTGTTGTCAGCTGTCGCCAGTCGACATACAGCAACAAATCGTTTATGGCCCCAAAACACCTAAGCAAATATGGGAGAGGAGTGTGTGTGTGTGAGTGTGTTAGTATCCTGTGTATGTGTGCTTTGTGTGCGTGTGTGTGTGTATGTTTTCCTGGGGGCGGCTGTATGTGATTGGCGTACATAAGTGAGAATGCGTGTAAAGTGTTTGTAATCAATCATTTATGAAATTACGCTACTTCCGCTTTTGACAATTTTCTTTCAACGACAAAAGCAGCCGCCCCTAGCTGCTTCCTTCGTCCTTTTGACGCTCCTTCGATGACGTAAGGTTATGTGATATGTGTCTATATGTTAAATGCAAATTCATACGTTGCTCAGCAGTGGCAGAAGTCAAGCCAAAAGTATTTCTTACTAAATGATAACTTTGATGGAAGTAAATTATGACCAGCTAAAGCTTAAGTTTCTTTCTTTTAATTGTAATTTCTTTAAATTTTAAGTAGTTCTATAGGTGTTTTAATCAGTTTATGCTGCTTTATTGATTCAAACTAATTTCCAAATCGACAGCTTAAGTTCAGGCCAAAGTTTCCCATAAATGACCAAGTTTGCACATCTATTTCCCTAGACAAGTTATGTTAATTTGTGATTTATTTGATTTTGAATTGATTGCCTTGAAAGCTAAGTATTTGTTTGTATTTCGTTAAGCTTTCATGATGATTTCTAAGCTTGTACTTATATGTGTTTTGGCCTTTTGAACCATCAGCATTATCATAAATGTTGGTCTTAATGCTGCCTTCGAAAGTGATTATAATTGACTCTCGCATAATAATCGAATCACCACAGTTATGGGGTCATTCTTGGTCCTTAACAAGGCCAAAAGATGGTCGGGGGGCAAACTGTTTTCGAAAACCGCAAACTGGGGACACACAAAAGGACGCCTTGAAAGCTGCTACTGCTGCTACTGCTGCTGGGCTTCACTTTGCGGTTGGCCGCAATGTCAAGCCTTTTGCGACTAATTAGACGAACTTGCGGCCGGAATAAGGTGAGCAATCATAAATAAATATGTAAATAGGCACACAAGCAAACCTTTGCTTGCATGACTTTAATTTCTCTTTAGTTTTTTTTAGTTTCTAATTGGCTTTGATTCGATTTAATTCGCTCAAATGGCCGTCGATGGAGGGGCATGTGATACCGATACCAAGTCCAAACTTTGGTCCATTGGGCCATGTGCAAAAACGTGTTTTTTGTGTGTGCTGGAATCCTGCTGGCTAGGACTTGGGAAAGCCAAGGAAAACCGAAAGCCTCCCGCTGAATCCGAGAGAGGGAGAGAGACACAGAATGCGAGAAAATTAGAGAGCGAAGCGCGCGCAGTTGAAAATTCAAATGTTTCTGTTGGAAATTCGCCTTCACTGGCTTAACTTTGGCCAGAACTTTGGCCCGAATTCGGGAAATAAAACTGAATTATACCCTAAAAAATGATGAAGAGTTACATAAAATCATTTGAGGGCTAAATGCAGTTGGAAATTTATAAATTATGTTTATGTTTGGTAAAGTTTTAACAAAACATTTGCCTGTTGAAACTTATATAAACTGCGAAAAAGTTTGCAGAATCCCCAAAGCCAGGGAAACCAAGAAGCGGAGAGAGCTCTCTCCGAGAGAGAGAGAGAGAGTAAAGACCTGGAAACTCGCTCTCTCCAGCTGCCTCTGCTAACTGATTTCCAGCGACAAAGAGATTTATTTTTCGAACTAGAATCATGTTAAGGCTGCTGCTGGCGATTCTCTGCTCTGATTCTCCTCTCCCTCCCCCTTTCGCCAGTCTCCGTCTCCTGCCACCATTCTCCTCCTCTATCCCTATCCTTCGGTTAGTTTAAAGCCCTTGCTGGTGTTGTTGTTGCTGCTGCTCCTGTGGCTGCACAGCGCATTAAATGTGTGCCACCAGGCGTATGCGTAATTTAAATTTAAATTTGTGTGTGTACATATGTCTGCCCCCTAGCACCTGCGCCCCCTTAACCCCCCCAAGCCCATCTTGTGTATTTTTGGCCCCAGTCGTTGTTGTTGTTGTTTTGTTGCTGTCTGCTTAGCATTTGCCTCAAGTTTTGTTAATCAGCGCAATTCACATTTTTGCTGCTGCTTTTTTTATTCCCTGCCCCCCCCCCACCTCTTGCTCTTCGCTCTTTCTCTCTCTCTCTCTCTCTCTCTCTCTCTCTCTTGGAGATTTTGCAGTATTCAAAAGGAGGTTTTTCCTTTACGTACAGAGACCCTCATTAGCGTAGTCATTGTTTTAGCCTCAGCCTTTCGTCCTTTAGCCCTTTCTCGCCCCATCTCCTCTTCTCTCCAACGGCCATTTCAGGTTTTCAGGTTAAGGAATGGCGGATGGGTGGAATCTCTGTCCGGCACTCGACAAATAATTACCAATTATATGGAACAGACATCAAATATGCAGCCAAAATCTGGTGTTGTTATGTAGCCAGCAACTGCAGTCGAGCTTAAGTGCCACAAATTAACCGCAACGTGGTCTCCAGCCCCGCCTCATGGCTGCCTCATAATTACGCGACTGAAATATGAATCCTTGGACAAGAGTCCTGGCTCTGGTTATGACCCAGCAGCGGAATGAGCTCTGCACTGAGAGAATTACAAAAGCAGAAAGGACGGGGGCTACCACTTTTGGGAAATTTTAAATGCAAACAGGACCTTGTTCGGGATTAAGACCTTTAGTTTTGAACATTTGTATTGCTCTAGCAGGGGGTTCACTGAGAGAAAATAGATTATTGAGACAGAAAAACTAAATACATTTTTGCAGAAGGAAACTATCGAAAAAAAACTGTTAACTTGTTTATTATAAAATTTCCTCACTAACCAAGTAATTGTAAATCTTAAAAATCATCTCTGAAGCCTAAGCTAAGGAGAAACTTCGATCAATAACATTTTATATTATAAAATTAGCTTTTCATTATAGACGTCTTCTTTCAGTGCATTACTCCCACTTTAGGTTCTTTGGTTTTGTTTCGAGTCGAGTTTTTCCCTTTTTTCGCAGCTCAACTTTAATAATTAATGAGCAGCTAAAAATGTCACGCGGTGCGGAAGAGTTTCGGCCCGGCGCAAAGTGGAAAGCGAACGAGGTTGGGGGCTTAATTGGGTTAGAAGGAGGAAGTCGTCGGATGCCAGGGGTTTTTATGGCGTGGGATGGGATTGGTTAAGACAGGGGATTAGATGGGTTCCTGCCTGAACCCAGGACCAAAGAAGTTCGAGGGTTAAAGGTTGACTAAGACTTAAGAACAACTCTTTGGTGGACTCACCTTGCAATCGTCGCATTGGTTGATCAGCGAGTAAACCTGCCGGCAGTCGAAGCGGAACAGAATCTCGGCCAGCTCGCAGGTGATGCGATTGGCCAGGCCGTCCACGTCCAGCAGGTCGCTGAGGATGCGGGTGCACTCCCGCCGATCCGAGAGGCTGGCATTGAGGGCCAGCGTGTGCAGGGCACTGAACACGCTCCGCTCGCAGCAGTTGCGCAGGCGCAGCGCCCGAAGTCGCTCCAGCAGCTGGCCAGGTGACCGAAGGTCGCACAGGTGCTGCGGACTCGACTCGGCGGAATCGCCCAGATATTCAAGGCACTGTTGTTGCTCCTGCTCGTCCTCCCCCCGGTCCTGGTCCAGCTGGAGCTGCTCCTGGGCATGCAGATGGCTGTAGGACAACGTTGGCTCCGGTTCCGGCACTCCTCCTCCTACCGTCTCCTCGGTAACACTGGCCGCACTGGATGTTGAACTGCTATACCCATCGATGTCCACATCCATGTCCAGGCCCAGGTCGGTGGTGGTCGGCCGCTCACTGGCCGGCATTGGGGAATTGCTCTCGGTGGCGTCCATCGCGTAGTCCCTCTCGCGTCGCAAACGCATCTGGGCCGCCTTATAGTTTACGAAATACTTGACTTTATTGTTACTGGAGGCGCTCCTCGGAGGCCTCGCCTTGGAGGCCGCTGGCTTCTGGTGCTGCTGCTCGGCGCAGGATCGCGGGCAGATTGGGGGCCCGGGTCCCTCATCGACCCAGGCCATGGGCAGTGTACCAGCCGAGCACTGACCCTGGAAGAGATTAAGAGAGAGAGTTTTGGGATTTAATATTATTTTTTGTTATTAATTATAAAGATTTAAGAAGATTCTTGAAACGATTTTTAAGCTTCAAACTTCATTTCATTCCAACAATTTAATATTCTTATAGTTAAATTTAACTTTGAATGTAATTAAAACCCAGCTTATGGTTTTTTTTATTAATTTTTAGTATCTCATATTAAAAAAACTAAACCAAACATTATTCCTTTTTTCAAAATGTCTATAAATCAAGACTTTTATCCTTCTATAAAGGATTTAACTACTAAAGTATTAAAGTTTTGATAGCTTCCAAAGCTGAAAACCATTTTAAAAACCCATAAACAATACGACATTTTGCAAAGAAATTTTCTTCAATTTGATAAATCTTAAAGATACAAAGATTCAAAGATATAGAACTAAGCTCGATGATTGTAAACATTCAGCCCTGACCCAGAAATGCTAGAAACAACGCTATTCCTAGGGCAATTTCATTCATATATCTATTGGAATCCCCAATGCCGCAGGACTCGGCAGTAAGAGGACCACTCCTGCTGCCACTTCTCCCTCCATCAATTAACTGTCTTGTGTGATTTAAAAATTAAACCAACCAACTGTGATAGCCACACAAGCATACACACACTTCCACAGATACACACACACTCACGCTGGGGAAATCCAAGCCAAAGAGGGGTGCACAGGAAAAACAAAAAGCACACTGGTATATTGGAAAAGTTTTGCGCTGGCTAACAACAACAGCGAAAGTCATAAAATGCAACAACAAAAGCGGCGAAATAACAACAAGAAAAAATAAAATAAAAACAAGTAAATAGAAGCCAAAGCAGAGCAGAACAGCGAAAAAAGGAACAACATTGAGTGCATAAAGAGCTGATGTTTTTTGTTATTAAAATGACCGCACTTCGTTGGAATTTTCCACATGCTTGCATAAAACTCAAGGCAGCTGAAGGCAGGGAAAACAGTGGGTGGTTGGGGGGGTGGAGAAACCCAACGCGTGGCTGCGGCAAAAATTTCCGTAGAACACTTTACGGCATTTACCATCAATATTGGAGAACACCCAACAAACAGGCGGAGCTGCAGGAGGAGCTCAACGAAGTTGGAGCTGCAACAGGAGCTTAAAACATTTTGCGATTTAATCGTTTTCCGGTTATAGCATGAATATTTATGAGAATGCCGGTGGAAAAATAATTTTATCCCGACGGCTGGCTGCCAGTGCAACCGCCAAAGGATCGAGTTTAACTGGCTTAATGTAATAAGGAATAAGAAAACCTTAAAGGATGATTGAAAAGGGGGATATTTTAAGGTAAGCAGTGTCTTCCTAATGAGATTAAAATAGTTAATTTACTATAAGTTTTTATTTATATGACAAAAGGAATTTCTAATATCAGCAACCAGGCCTTTAAATACCTTTTAAATATTTATGAAAAATACAAAACATATTTAATTTCAAGTATTATGTTTGTGTCATGGGTCTCTGGGTATTAGTTTTAAGCCGATTATTGATACTACTACAAATGCAGTTACTATTCTCCAGCGGAAATCATTATTTTTTATAGTTGTTGAATAGAAACTCTCGGCTTCAGAATCCGAATCCTGAATCAACTCGCCCGCTGCGATGACCCTTTGAACTTTCGGCCTGTGAGTAATATGCAACAATCAACAACTCTCAATTGCTGCGTGTCCTGTGCGCCAAAGCTCTGTGTTCCGTACGTCCTGTGTGCCCTTTTTTCTACCCGCCACCACCACCTCCTCTTCCCTGCTCTCGGCCTTGTCCCCCTCCACCCAATCGTTTTCCATGTTCCCGGGGCAATAACAATAAGCCGCAGAGAATTTCACTTGCAATACGCACAAATATGCCCAGGCTTTGGGGGGCTCGAAGGGGGCCTCGTCGTCGTTGGTCTTAACTCAAATGAAAAATCATACAAAGGGGAAACTAATACAGCCAGGCACACCCACCCACCCACACATACACACACACACACACCCGTTGAGAAGGACGAGCACGTGTACGGACAGCCATTGTTGATTTAATGGCAGACCAGCTGCGGCCCAATGCACAACAATGCGGCAGGGAAGGTAGAGCCAGAGGGAGGGAAAAGGGACACAGACACGAACAAGGATACACCAGCACACAGACATACCGAAGCAGGGTAAAAAATAAAGATAAATTCTTCAATTCGCAGCAGGCAAAATAAGGAATTACACTTCCTGCGGCGGCCCCGGAGGCGGCGTGCGGAAGGAGTACATTTTCCGAGAGCGAATCCTTTTCCACCCCATCCCCCAACTACTCTCAGTTGGCCAACTTTGTGAAACTTTCCAATTTCTGCTCGATTGCCAACATCATCATAATGAGCCGCCATTTCCAGTTGAAGCGCCACTAAGACCGATTAATAATTTATGTATGCAAAAAGGGGCGACTTTGCATTAAACACTTATGATCTCGCATTTATTTGGCATTTCGCAGGGAACTCATGAATTTTGCATGGCCATTCATCCGAACAGAGGTGCCCTAATATTTCCTGACTGCTGACTCCCTGGTGTTAAAATCCATTGACCATAATTGTCTTACCATTTTCTCGGTGGCAAACGAAGCATACTCAATGCACTTGTGCATTGACCATGGAGTGGGTCTGCTTCCTCCCATGAAATATTCATATATATTAGAGAGGAAGGAGCAGGGAATCGCAAAGGGAATGCTGGAACATTCATGTATGTGTGTATATGTGCTGGAGTCCTGCAACAGTCTGTTTTGCAGGGCAAAGGGTTCTTATGCAAGTTGTCATTAACTTTGGCCTGGACCTGAAACTGAAACTGAAACTGAATGACGGCCAGATGGCATTGGACATTGGGCTTACAGCAGCAACAACAAGTTGCACAGAAAGGAGACACTGTCACAAAAATAATTAAATTAGGGATTTGATAATAAAAGAGCTAGAACTTGTACATAATTCCGTACTACTAAAGGACCTGTTTTTATAAGTTAAATAGAAAATACTCTTCATTTACTTGAAATTTAGAATAAATCACTTATTTTCTTTTGCATTTTCCTGCCATAACATAACACTTTCTTAATCTTTTACACAATTTTCTTCAATCATTTAATTTTTAATTACTAAAAGCTTAAGAATACTATCAATTTTCGTGCTGTGCTCCCACTTTTCCACCAGGACATTGCACACACCGGCCCCCTCAGAAAAGCCAAGGCGGGGGCACAAAAAACTCAAACAAAGCCGGCATAATGGAGTATGCATTATGGCTAATGGCACACGCCCACAACTACACATTTATGTGCTGTATAGATAGCTGGGGATGTCCTTTGTGACTGTGATCCTTTGTGCAGGTTGCGAGGCGGGGCCACAATGTCTAATAAGCCACGATGGGAGGCCGAGCTCCTAAATGCTTAGACAATGGGCAAGGGACCCGGACCCACAATGATGTCAGCTGCAGGCGAGGCAAGGCAAGGCAAGGAGGAGGGACTGCTGGTCCTGGCCGCTGGAGGAGCTCTCTCTGGCCACTTGACCCATGACAGGCTTAGGCTCGGCGACAATCTCTGATGGATGTGTGACACAAGCAAAGCTGCTCGGTGTCTGTATGTGTGTTTGCCTCAAAAGGATGGCTAACCCGTAAATGCCCTAAGAAATTAATGCCTTGATTAGCCGACACGAAGGTAGTAGCAGTCAGCCAGCCAGCCAGCCAGGCTTTGAGGTGCCCTGGTCCTGGCGCAATATTATTCAAAACTTTTGCCGAGTGCCGGCGGGCAATTGAAATCTGTCAGAGCATTCTTGGCAGCAGGAATGTCAACTTCTGAGGCCAGAAAGGGAAAAGCCCAAAGTGCACTTGAGCTAAACACCAGCAGCTGCTGCTGCGACGGCGACTGCAACGGCAAACTACAATGGCAAACGGCAAGCGGAACCGACAACACTTTAAATGTTACAGCTTAACCTCGACGGGCAATTCAAACAATGCGCCAACACAAACACACACACACATACATGTCCTGATAGGGACACGCTGCATATGGGACTGGTGGGTGGTCCATGTGTGTGTGTGTCAAATTTTAACGCCTGTCAACAATGCAGGCAGAGGAAAAAAAAATGCAGCGGCAATGGAAACGACAACAACAGCCCAAGAACATGTCGCAAGCAGCACTCAAATTTTCAAATGCATGCATACAAATGGCTGACTGAGTGATACCCTGTCAAGGAGCAGGACTATGGTAGAGTGTTTAGATAGAAGGAGTTATTGAATCACATGAAAAACTGGCTAAAAGAAGGCTTTCTTTAGGTAGGGATAAGAAAAGCATTACTATATAAGCAAACTATATACAAAATATACAAATTGTATATTCAGTTAAACCCTGACTGCTCCTTCAGCTAATTCTTTGCTAATAGTTTGTGTAATAGAAAATATTAAAAGGTTTAGCCTTTAAATCTGTACATTTTTTAGACGTTTTAAGAGGTCTTTAAGGGGGTCTTCTCATTGGGCAACTTTTTTTTTTCGATTTTTTTTTTTTGCATTTATTTATAGCTTGGGATGGTGTGTATATGTCCCCAAAAGGATTTTTAGAAATTCGAAATACTTTAGAAGATACAGCCTTTTTTGTGAAGCAAGTTCTTCGCAAAATGAGCTTTTTTCAAACTTCAAACGCGTTTATCTCGAAACCACGTTTTTCGAACTGGCGGCCATGATATCTCCAGTTCAACTGAACCGATTTTCATGAAACAAAGTGGAGTCGACGCAGAATTGTCACCATTCTCGGGTGACGGAACAGAGTTTTTTTTTAAATTTTTTTTCTATTTTTTTTTTTACACTAAACTACAAAAAAAAAGCCCGAAATCGAAATTTTTTTTTGAATGGGCGCCATTTTGTTTCAAAATATTTAAAAAAAAATCTGTTCCGTCACCCGAAAATGACATCAATTCTGATTATAACCCCGTTTTTATTTTTCATTTCGGACGCTCTGGAGACCCTGAATCGTG